GCCCCCCCCTCTCTCTCTCTCTCTCTCTCTCTTTCTCTCTTCAACCTCCCTCTCTCGCTTTTTCTTGTATTCACGGCCTGTCAATCTCGCAAACACAACACAAACGCAAATACAATTATACAAAATACATACGGAACAGAGATACATTTACTCTCCTTCCATCTTTCTGTTCCCAATCGTTTTTTGTTTCGTACAAGTACAACACACATTGCAGTAAAAAGAAACAAAGTTCAAAGGCCAATCGGCTACCTTGTGAGCCCTCTTCGTTTGCACCGACAGGTTGTCATTGACGGCGAACACGCTGTTGTTGTCACGTGACCACACCAAGATGGCGCCACTTGAGTCCCCTGTGATGACGTCACCAGATGGCGAAAAACATACTGACGTCACAAATTTGGGAACATCGTCCTGTGAAAAAGAAAGTGAATCCAAAGAGGGAATTATTTATCATTTGTTCTAAAATGGCACCCACAACTTCTAACAGACAATTGTTTTTTTTGGGGTTTTTTTATGGGTGTGTAGGATGGATAGGGGATGGTGGAGGGGTAATAATGGGGTTGGGGTAGGGGTGGGAGGAAGGGAGGGAGGGAGGGATGATATTGGGGTAGGGATGGGGGATAGAATAGGTTTGAGGTGAGGTAGACAAGTTATCAGTTGTTCTAAAACAGTTACTGTACCCACAACTTCCAACAGACATTTCGTTCAGTGCAGCAAACAGGGAATACTATTATCACGTCTTCAATACTGAAAAAAACAACAAAAAAACAAAACAATATCAAGCCTATCACGATCGCATAATACACGATCATCTTACAAAATCTGCCACACATTAGCAAGGCAGAAAAAGAGTGTGGCAAAATCACAACAAAATTGCATGCAAACATGATTTTCTTGTTAGATAAATGCATATAACGAGTCAAATACTCTTGAATTTTGTAGAATTCCACAATACTATTTGTACATTTTTGTGACAAAATATAAAGACATTTCGTATTTTGGGAAAATGCGAGGACTTAACGTCACGAAATGTTTCTTTCTTCGAAAAAAATATTCTAAAAATCCTAACTTGATAATATTGCCATATCATTGTCCAATTCTCCTTTAATTTTACAAGCCCCTAGCGTTTATCCTATTATGAATTTTGATTTAAAACAAACAAAACAAACATGTTCGTTGATTTTTGAATGTATCTGTTTTTTCTGTCTTTATTCTTGTTTTTCCTCTTAATTGTCATGTGTCACATGATCGAAGAGCGAGACAGTTTGGGTGGTGGGGGTGGGGGGGAGAGAAAGAGAGAGAGAGAGAGAGAGAGAGAGAGAGAGAGAGAGAGAGAGAGAGAGAGAGAGAGAGAGAGAGAGAGAGAGACATTCAGAGGGACACAGAGACAGAGAGACAGAGAGAAACAGACAGACAAGTTGACAGATATACAGACAAAAGGAAAGCCCGCATGACAGAGAGACAGACAAAAGCCAGACAGACAGATAGATAAACAGACAAAAAAAAGAACAGAGCAAAGACAAAAAGACAGGGAAACACACAGATAGTCGAGCAGTCAGTCAGAGCAGAAGACAGACCGACAAAATTATATATATTTGATAGTACAACAATTAAACCAACAGTGCAGTGGGTTACGATGAAAGGGTGTGGCCAGTTGGACAGACAGTGATGATGCATAACAAAGAGTGTACCAGGGAACAGCAAAATAAGACTGTGTAGTCAAGTGAACAAAACAACAAAACTTTTAGACTCGTTTTGTTTCCTTCTTTTTTGGGGGGTTCTAGGTTTTCACTTTTCATAAGTAGATACAAGATTGATTATTCATTCGCGTCTAGCAATTTCCAGACAGCTCAAATAAATACAATTGTTAGATCTAGTAGTATGTAACGCTGAACATTGTCACCTAACGTAATACACATTGATTTTCTTTTAAATTTCTACGACATATTATTGCATTTTGTTTGTAATAGCGGGTTCAGTTTTTAAGTCATTAGTTACTCTTACAAAAACCTAGGTTTTCTTTTTGAGAACAAAAGTGGACCATGCATAGAAATTCCCTGGAACTACAACGTCACTACGTGTATTACTTATTTAATAACACCCTAGGGGGCTCTCGTGGCCTAGAGGTTAAGGTGTTGGCCTCTCATTCAAAGGTCCCGGGTTCGAATCCGGGTAGCGACTGAAAACTTTTCTTCTCTAAAATTGTCTCCTTTCATCTCTTTTTCTGCTCGACTACTTTCGTCTCCTCTTTCTGCCCCCACCCCCTCACCTCCTTCGCCCCCTCCTCTGGGCTCCTGACTCTTTCTGCAGCTTTCTACTGCTACTACTTGGCTCCTTACTGCTGTCTTTCAGCCACACCCCTGATCTCCTAGTAGGAAAGATCTACACTTAGCCTTCTCGGACAAGGGCGAAAAATCTCGGAGGACCCGTAAGCACGTTGCGCACGTTAAAGATCCCTTGGTGGTCTAAAATCGATAACAGGGTAGGCTTCGGCCGCCACCCGGGCAACATTCAAAATTTCCTACCAACTGAAAGTATTATTAGGTGTGTCCTGCGCGCTCATATGACCTTATGCAGTTGCGAGCACCGTAAAACACCTACCAAAACAAAACAAACATAATAACACCCTGCTGGAGACGCAATGACCAGCTTCCACTGTTCCTGTCTACACATCAGCCCGATTCCTCGAAGGGACCAAGTAGTCTATACTGTTTTTCTCCCTCTTGTTTCCCTTTTCTTCTTCTTCTTCTTCTTCTTCTTCTTCTTCTTCTTCTTCTTCTTCTTCTTCTCCTTCTCCTTCTTCTTCTTCTTCTTCTTCATGTACCCTCCTCTCCGTCTCTTCTCAACTCTCCTCTTTACTTCTCTCTACCTTATTTTCCTCCATCTAAAGTCCTCTTTCCCTACCCTCCTTCTTCTCTCCTTCCTTAATATTTCTCCCCCACCCCCCCTCACCCTTTCACTATTATCTCTCCATTCTGTGTCCCTACGACTCTCGTATTCTTTCCTTGTTATCTACAACGTTCAAACTTTGATTGTGACAGTGTGATCAAAGATGCACGGGCATGCCGCTCTACCTGGGATATCTTTGACCAGTAGTGAATGGTGTGATATGTGAAGGCTGCGCTAAATACAGAAGTGAAGCCATCAAGTATTAAGTACCTTTTCTATCATCCGCAGTTGCTGGTTGTGAAGAAAAGAAACAGTAATCATTGTGACGTACAAATCAACAGCACTGGGGAAAAGCGTGCGTCATGCACAAGTATCCGACGGCATTAAAATTATTTTCTTTTACGTCCCAATCTACACTTCGTAGAACATACTATTTTTAGATAGTAGGCGGGCTTCTTTGAATCGGCCTGATGACTTGGCCAGCATCATCATCGTTGCCTTTCTCACCCAGGATCAGGGTATAGGGCACGACCACCCCCCCCCCCAAACACTTTCCACCTTTCCTTATCCTGGGCTAGCCTCATAGTGTTATTCCATGGCCAGCTTGGGATGAATAAGATACAGCATCCGAATAGAAAGACGTATAAACTTGATGACGTGGACTTCCTCATTCGCTAATCAAATTGTCTTTTTTGTGCGTGCAACGATGAAGAACCAAAGTATAACCATGTTCAGGATACAGAAATGGTTCCTTTTTTAAATCAAGGACCAGAGACCAGTCTGCTGTTATCAATTAATTATACCTTCCAGATCAAAACACGTTAGCAAACTTCCACAAGCTTTAAGCTCTTCCTACTCTTTCTGGGGAGAAGCTGTTTTTTTTTTGGTGTTTTTTT